TTATGAATAAGTGATACAACGATAATTACAATAACTCTTCAAACTCTACAATTGCCAATAATGTTATAAAAGTTATTAGCTATGTGTAGGCATAAAATTAACTAAACCTAAATTATGTTCTGAAAATCGATAATTCAAGGACAATTGGAAAGTCAACAACTTTCGATATTAGAATTTTTACGCATAGGCGGATTCAAAAGCACCCACTATTTTTTGAAAATTAAAACAAAATTCTAAAATTTCCATTTCCGGCATCTAGAAGTGTTTCTGTCTCTGCCCCATCATGTTTGAGGTAGTCTGAACTTGTCCCATTTGTACAATTGCCATTCTGGGGGCGCCCTCTATTTCGAATTCCTGCATCCGCCACTGTGTTAGTTTAATCATCTCCAAATCATTTTGCCCAATCTACATTTACATATTGAGAACATTTCCTTACATATTTATTTTGTAAAAAAAGTAGCTTTTGACAGCATAACATAATCAAGCATCATCAGAAAGATACTGCGTTAAGTTACGTCATGTCGCAATAATTATAGGCTTACATTCCAAGTTAGGCCTACATTACTTTGTTTTACATTAATGTTCAATCAACACAGACTAAAATATCTACCTTGTAATAATAATTACAATTAATAATGATTGCAAATATTTAACATGTTATGTGAGATTAAATTTTAGTTTACATTATTTGAAGTGAAGAAAGGATTTTAAACATGACATAACATTCCATGACAACATTACATTAAATCACGTGACGTCATTTCATGTTAAGTTACAGAGCACATTACATAATAAGTATTAGTTACAGTCATATTACATTAATTACTATTGATGAATTACATTATTACATTATTAATTTTATTATTACATTAATTACTATTAACTAATTGTATATTCAGCACCGCCACCCTCCCCCCACCCCACTCTTTTTTTTTTTTCAAAATCCTGGATACGCCACTGCCAATCGATATTATTATTATTATTATTATATCGGAGTAATGTATAATTCTTGTGTCAACGTTGGGATTTCGTAGGCCTCTGGTTTAGCTGTTGCTCCCTGTTCAATAATAAAATCATATATATTGTCTATTCCGGCTGAGTCAGGTCTCACTCGTTCTTTTGGTTGAGTATCGTAGCTGTCCGCCTTATCGGCTACGGTTTTTATGATTGCTCCGAGCAGTTTATGTTTATTTGCCTGATTCGTGTGGAATCTAGAAAAAATATTGAAATAACAGTACTCTTTCTTTACATATCAGTGGCTTTATAATTCTGGGGCGGATGCAGGGGTGGGGAGACGGGGAGGGGTGCAGACGATGCGATCGCACCCCCACTCCCCAAATTGTATTAAGAAAAATAATTGTTGTATTGTATAGTTGATATGAATTACAGGTAAGATTTTTAAGGTATTAAAGTGAAATTTCCGGGTACGTAGAGGTTCATATTCTTAAAATTCCCTCACCTCAGCCCCAACAATGGTGGCCCTGAGGTGGTGTGGACTTTCACGCACCCCCTACCGCCAAACCCTGCAACCGCCCCAGTAATTGTATAAAATATGAAATATTTAGAATAGAGTTTTTACCTGTAGAAGATAAGGCACGCAGACAATAGTAGTACACTAATTACAACAGAAGAAATAATCCCTATCGTAGAAGTTGAAAATATCGTGGAAGTTGAGACTGAAGTGGAAGTTGTGTCTGTTAACTTACTATTGCCTTTAAAACGTTAAAAGTAAATAATCATTGTTAAAATAAAACTGTGACGTGCTTATCATATTTATTTAATTATTGAAAATTAAAAAAAATAATCCATAACATAGAAAAGAGGTATGAATACAGTACATCAATACCTAATTGTTTTTTTTCGTTTCGTTTGACGCATTTAGCCTTTTAATTTTATTCATTCAATTTATTCAAAACCCTCTGGAACGGAGAAATAAAAAAGTACAAGCTTTATTCAAAACCCTCTGGAACGGAGAAATAGAAAAGTACAAGCTTAAACAACCCACCCCACCCCACCCAACCCTCAAAAAGAGAAAAAAAAAACAAACAAAAACAAAAACAATTGTATTATATCAGACACCAGAACAATTTAAATAAAACTTACAGATAAAAATACGAAATGAAATATCTAAATAAAAATGTAATATGTTTTCATACGTTTATTATTATTATTATTAGGGCTACATGATAAAAGTTTTTACTATGCCTTTTTCCAATTCCTTATGATTTAATAATTATATTAATGTTATAATTGTTATATTTGAATTATTCATATATTGTAATGTATACTGATGATTGAAATGGAAATAAAGGCGTATTGAACTGAAAACATTAAATTGAATATCTATGGAAATCAGACAACACTCGCTAAAACTCGCTTATTGAATCTGACACAAAATATCAGTGCAAGTCCACGTACAGAAAAATAATAATTACCAGTAATGGAAACAGTAAACATACAGCTACCCGTATTACCAGCAGCATCAGTAGCAGAGCAGTTTACATCTGTCGAACCAACAGCAAACGAGGAACCAGAAGGCGGCGTACAAGTAAGGGGCAGGTCAGTGTCCAGGTTATCTATGACTTCTGCGTAATCCCATGTCACAATAGTGCTCGAAAATGTTATGTTCGCTGGACACGTCACAACGGGACTCTTAATATCTACAGAAAATGATAAACACCTCTAATTGAAAATTGAGAAAATATATTTTAAAGTTTTTATCTTCATTGTTATTACAATTAATGTTATTATCATCACCTCATTGTCACCATTATCATCATCACCATAATATGGATGGATGCATTCGGTGGTAACACCAAGGATAACTCACAAAAGTCTGAAGAAGACTTATTTCCAGTGGGGTCGTTCTGGTGGTGATTACCTATGCAGCACATGGGAAGACTATCCCCTACCGTACTCTTTGCCGAAGAGTGTACTGCGTTCTTTAACGTCCACATTGGCCATAATGCACACGAGACCAACGGCTTAAACGTCTCTTCCAAAAGACGGTGCGCTATTGTAAATTCAGCCCTCCAGCTGAAATGCAAGGAGAGGAGTGGTGGCAATCGAACCGGGGACCCAGAGACCTCCACTGTTCAGTACACACACAGTGGCTACAACCAGTGTAGGGCTAAAATATTGTTAAAAACATTTGTTTCATCAAAATACATGTGAAAACTTGTACCTCACACAGTCTAAGATGTTGAGACGTCGGTAAATAGACACTAACGTATTTGCCAGTGATAGCGGGGTTACAGGTCAAGTTGACAGGGTTGTGGTTATTATTACTATTATTATTATTTATTATTATTATTATTATTATTATTAGGGCTACAAGATAAAAGTTTTTACTATGCCTTTTTCCAATTCCTTATGATTTAATAATTTTATTAATATTATAATTGTTATATTTGAATTATTCATATATTGTAATGTATACTGATGATTGAATTGGAAATAAAGGCGTATTGAACTGAAA